AGTAATAAGGCATCCATTTTTCTAAAACTTTTAGTAGAATTAAAAACCGGGGACTTATTTCAGGCTTGTTTTGTTTTACGTCTCTCATATGTTAGGCTTGTTATTTATTATTTGTCGCTATCTTAAGGTAAATGGCAAAGCACTTAGTAATGCATTAAACCTATATATGACACACAATACAGTCAACAACATTTATGCCTACTTAATTGAAAAATAATGCCACACAACGCGTAATTCGTAATGTTAACTCCGTAGATATACATTGTTATATTTAAAAATAAACACACATGCTTGGTGGGAAATAAGTATATGATACATTTACATCTTTAATGGATTAGGGGGAAATTGAGGTAAAGACAATTCAACAATAAAAAATGTGTAACTGTTAGTAAATGTAGAAATAAGCGAAATATTTTATCCGTGTATTTCATAACAAAAACATTTCCAATGTTAGTATGTTGCCTCCGTCTATTCGGCGATTTTAATCTGGTGAAACAAGAAACTCCGACAATGTGTATTGTAATACATGATTTTGTAAACTAAATAGTTCTACGAAGCTATAATGGTGTTTTGTTACTGTACATCAATATATTACTTAATCTAGATCAGAGTCCTTTTCGCAAAAGTTACACTATTACATTGTACCTACTTTCGGTCTAGCAAATTAAGGCGACAATAGTTTAACGATGTTCAAATCTCGTAAATCGATTAGAAAGAGACAAATAAAGGTAACTTAGGGAATTACATGAACTACAAAAGGAGCGAGACCGGATGCATCGAAAGGGTAAGCGTCTCATGATATGCATGACTCTATAAGGAAAAACAAAACATTTCAGCTGTGTATTTGTCAAAACAAATCCACTTACACGATTAATAAATGTGTAGAACAACCTATCTAAACGAACATAATCATTTTATAAAATTTATGAATACATCATTGTAAGTCGTTTTGAGCAAATGTTTTGTGTGTGCTTCAATTCCGGAAATACTGTGCTATTCTCGATGAAACACTTTAATATTTTAAAATTGCTAAATTCTCAAAAGGAACTTTTGATTAGGGACTTTCTGTTTTGAAGAGATAAAGGATACAACAGATACAGTTAAGTCTGCCTCATATCTTGACTTACATCAGAAATTAACAATGAGGGTCGGTTGAAAACAAAACTTTACGACAAAAGAGATGATTTCAGCTTCCCGATTGTGACCTTTCCATTTTTTACCAAGAGTTCCAAATGGTGAATTTGAAATCATCACTTCGTAAATTTTACGAACGCCATCACGAGTTGGTTGACCGTTATGGAATATCCGTTTCACAGATGATATCGGATATGTTCCTCATGTCGTAACTACAATCCCGTTTCCTTTTCACGAATATGACCTACCGAATTAGACTATTTACCGGCTTTGTATTAATATGAGCAATACGACGGGTGCCACATGTGGAGCAGGATCTGCGTACCCTTCCTGAGCACGTGAGATCATCCCCAATTTGTGGTGGGGTTCGTGTTGCTGTTGTACCCCTATTTGTGATATTTTTACCTATTTTGTTTGTTTTGTTCACACATCGTTGTCAATATAATGGAGTTTGATGCGACTGAGATACAAGTGAGAGGTATAGCTAGCTTTAAAACCAGGGTTAATCCACCATTTTCTACATAAGAAAATGCATGTACTAAGTCAGGAATATGACAGTTGTTATCCATTCGTTTGATGTGTTTGAGCTTTTGATTTTGCCATTTGATTAGGGACTTTCCTTTTTGAATTTTCCTCGGAGTTCAGTATTTTTGTGATTTTACATTTTTTCATGCTTAAACAAATATTTTTGTCAAGTGTATATCAATGTAAAGATACATAGATTCTATGACTTTATTTGCTTCTATTTTGTTATTTGCATGTGTTTAATAATGACATTATTTTACACATAGAGAACACGTATTTTAAAGGTCTATTTACCTTTTATAACTCAGATTATGTGTGGTTTATTATTCGTTTTAATTACAAATATTAACTGATCTATTTTCATTTCAAGTTTCGATTGGTCACCTTATCATAAATGAAGTGTTTTGTTGAAAGCTCAAGGTTAACAAAGGAGAAACTATGATGGACTTTGCTAAAGATCATTGAAAGATTTTTGGGAAATGACAGTATGAAATTAATTTATAGAAATTGCAAAACAATATGTGTTTGGTTTAAAATATGAAGACGACTTATGTTTTGTTTAAACGAATTTTAACTTTTTCCTAGTTTGCATTTCAAAAGTTTACATATTGAAAAAAACACACTTCGCTACAAGGATTGTACATATAATTTCTTTGAAAATCTTAACTTTTTGTCTTTTTTAGTTCTTGTTTTGTAAACTTTTTGGTTAACATGTGTTTTAATTTGTAGAGATGAAGTAGAAGACGTGTTTGATATCTTTGAGAAAGCCCCACTAGTTAATACATAATGAAATAAAATAACAGAAACAATTTGCAGGATATTCATCTGAAAATAATCAATTATAGGTAAAACTGGAAAAACGAAAAACGGAAGTGTTTTCATTTTCCGTGTTTGATTTCATAAAACAAAAAAAACAAAAAAAAAACGAAATTAATTTCGTTTTTTATTTTTTATTTCTCAAAAACAAAAACTAAAAACAAAAGCTTTTTCGTTTTTGATATATTAAATCAAATAATAAAAAATGGAAATGTTTTCATTTTTCGTTTTGATATCTCACAACAAAACTGAAAAAAGACAATTGGATTCCATTTCTACTTTTTTATTTTGTACTTCTTAAAAACAAAGGAAATGTGAGCATTTTTTTTTCTTCTGAAAAGTAGCAGTTTCCATTTTATGATCGTTACAATTGTTTCGTGTTTTATAATTTTTTGCCTTTAAAGATTTCGGTAATATAGTGGGTGTTATTGATAGGGTTTGTCCTACCACCGTTATGGATGATAGCTGCTTAATTCAAATAATAAAATATTATGATTGGCATATGGTTTTCTAGCAACAATGTATGCGTTATGGACTTTATCAACATATAAGGATAAATCCGTTTGCTTGTTCTTGAGATACAAATATTTGAAAAAAATAGTTTTTAGCTAGAAAAGATATCTGAGGAATTATCATATAAAGTGTAAGGGAAACAATCTGTAAAACTAGATGAGTATAAATCAGTTATGGATACATTTGGGTTCAGCTGTCTCCCAGAAATTGTTAGCAGAACAGTCTCTAGAACAGATCTCCTGGCACCTTTAGAACACTTTAAAAGAAACGGTTGACCTGTAAAACAATGTTCATGTCATGTCAATGAATATCTTAAAGAGTTGTTAATCAAAGGCCAGAAATATCGTATCCCCGGATGTTTACCTGAAATAAGCAACACAACGGATTGTAATAGTGGATGAGAAATTGTTTACCGATTAGCAGTTGGCACACCTTGGCTGATATATTGTCCATACAATATTAAAATCATTCAAAACACTAAACATAATCTATCCCCAGGCATAGATAGAATAAATAAAATTGGGAAATCGGTGTTAATTTAATATCATAACATCGGTACTAGCGCGTTTGGTTTTGTCAAGAATATGGAAGGCTATCTTTTTTTATATTATTTAATAAATAGCTTTCCTTTTTTCCATTTCAAAATATCCACCATAATGTATGTTTAAAGCTAAACGAAATAGATACATGGATTGCAGGGCAATCTATTTTTGATAAAAAAAGCAATAAATTATCATCTTTCGGTTTCGAAATATTAAGGAGATGTTGCATAGTGAGTGGTTAACATCCTTAATCTTAACAATATATACTATTTCATTTTATTTTTAATCATGTATCAACTTATTTCATAATTGGTAGGACTCGAACAAAGTTTCCGTATCTCTCAAACTTGACCTTCATATCGTATGAACTGATATACATTTACTCCTGTGTTGAATTGGCCATAACTTGAAATAATTTGCAACGTGCAAAACATAAAACACTTTATGCAAACTAACATTGCATGTATGTAGTCTGAAGTCGTACATATAAAAATGGATGTAACTCAGATTGATCATGAAGACGAAAACATCTCTGAAATGCACGCAGTAATTTGTTCTGAAAGAAAACTGAAAGAAGATAAGTTACCATCGTTTAAGAAAAATGAAGGGAAGATCGAAAATATAGACGGAATACGTGGTATCAGTCAGTTCTTTGAAAATCCTATTTACGGCAAAGAGGACAATGACAACAATAGTATTGGAGACATGGTCATAGTTCATAGACCTACTAATCAAGCGCACGTTATCAAGTCACTGACGCAAGAAAACAGAAAATTCAGATGTTGTACATTTGTGTTTCTTCTGACCACAATAAGCTTTTTAGTAGTGTCTCTACTTTTGGCGGTATGGATGCTTCGTCAAACAGGTATATATAATTTGTTTTAAACTACTATTTCATAGTAAAGAGATAACTTGGTACACAATATTATTCAATGCAAATAACACTTAATAAATTTCGTGTTTGAAAGAAAGGGATGTATAAATACGTAAAACGTTAGAAATACAAATAAAAAAAACCTTTAATGGATTACACATACCTTGTAAATAACATAATTACCAATTGTTCAAATAAGGAAGTTCTATTTAATATATATGTAGTCAATTGTAAATAATAAAATCCACCTTGTTTGTTAATCTATCTCCATTACATATCCCCCTCCCCCCCCCCCCCCCCCCCCCCCCGCAATAAAAAAAAATTGCTTATCAGGTCAACGATCAGTTTTAATAGTCTTATAAAGGTTAACATTTATAATATCTATTTTCATTTCTGTCACAGATCAGTCAACATACATCTTATAAAGGTTAACATTTATAATATCTACTTTTATTTCTGTCACAGATCAGTCAACAGACATCTTATAAAGGTTAACATTTATAATATCTACTTTCATTTCTGTCACAGATCAGTCGACATACATCTTATTAAGGTTAACATTTATAATATCTACTTTCATTTCTGTCACAGATTAACATCAATATCCGTCATATACACAAGGAAACCAAAGCGAACAACAGGAACGTAAGTAACACGTAATGTGTAAATAAATGAAATGTCATCGATACAACGACACCATTCGTAAATATAAATCAACATGCAGACATCTTATACGTTCAGGTATTTCACAATCAACCTTTTTATGGATATATTCTATTCAAGCGTAAAAATGTCGTTATTTACTTCAAAAGCTAACCAAACCTTTAGACAGACTTATTCACACGGGACATAGTTACTATAATGTTGTTCAGTCATTGAAGATGGCATTATTTTGGAATAAATTTTGGTTCACTCATAGGGTTTTTGCATCTAAAATAAACACATTTATTCTAAAACCAGTTGTTGTCATGATACGGGCTATGTTCTTCTCGTATAATGAACGTATGATGACATGAAACTAAAACCCTAACGGGAGGGATTGTGGTTGATTTGCATATGATGAAGACATAATCCTTTAATCAGTTTAATTGAGGTCTTTAGCTGGCATGTCATTAATTGCTAGTAGTCCTTTTTTAATTTATGTTTTTCTTTTTCAATTTTGTTAGTGTCCTCGGTAACCTATTCGAACGAGGACTCGGAATTCTTCTAAACTATCAGTTGTACTGTTTGTTTGTTAATTTCAATTTGACTAGAGAGGGGATTGAGGTCTTTCAAAACATGTTAAACCCGCATTTTTTAGCCTATCCAAAGTCAGGAACCTTTAGCTTTTGTTAGTCTCGTGTGTTTTTTTTATTTTGGTTCATTTGTATGTTTCCGGAGTTTACTGTGGCGATCATTTTGCTGAATTAGTATTCATTATTGTTGAGGGGACAGCTGTAGTCCGCCTCCGGGTGCAGGATTTTCTCGCTGCGTTGAAAACCCATTGGTATTCTTGGGCTTTTTTCTGCACTTTGGTCGGGTTGCATTCTCTTTGACACATTCCCCGTCTTCATTGTCTATTCTTTAAGTATTGATTGTCTAGACACCAAAATCATCACTGCATCATAGGTAATGATGTACAAGGAATTAAAAGCACTTTTGTTAAATGAACTTCAGAAACCATTTAGGTAAATGTTCCTGAGGGAGCTGGATCCTTAGTTTATTCACAATTTTAATACTTATCGGAGAAACAGTTAAGGATAGGAATTTCCAAATTATGTTAGTACTGAAGAACTATTTACTAAGGTGAGAACATCATCGAAGGCTAGCAATACCTACGGTGTCGACCAAATGCTAGTAAATAACAAATCCTTTGTAAATTTGGAGAGTCAGAAGTGCGTTCCTAGATTAATCTTCCTATTTAACGCAGGGGCCTCGGTGGCCGAGTGGTCTAAGTAGCTACTACTGTAATCACTAGCCAGTCAACACTGAGGTTGTGACTTCGAACCCCGCTCGTGCGGGTGCACTCGAATCCAATCTTAATTGACTAGGATTGTCAGTTTTCCTATCGAAGGTTGCTGGTTTTCTCCGGGCACTCCGGCTTCCTCCACCAGTAAAAACTGGTCGCCACGAAATAGCCCAAAAGCGGTGCTTAAAAGTGGTGTTGAAACACCAAAAATCTAAATCAAATCCTATTTAACGCGGATGCATAAAAATGTGAATGCAAAGGTTATATGAGTGCATGAATACGTGGAAATGACCAAAAGGAACTTAACACGATCAGCAAAATCCATCGAATTTCAACTGCGCATGTAACATTATTTTCTAAATAATTTTGAAATTTATCAAAGGAGAATTCAGGTAAGATATGTCAAACATTTTGAGCTACACACAATAACTTTTTTTTTACGGTGTGTAAAATAAAAGTACAAAGTTTAGTAGACCGATTATACAAAAGACATTATTATAACTTGTAAGCAATGCATGATTAACGTTTTGACCGATTATACAAAAGACATTATTATAACTTGTAAGCAATGCATGATTAACGTTTTTGATTTGAAATTATGATATTAAGGGTGGAAAACGGAAATAGAAGTAATTAGTAACATTCAATTCAGGTATATACATTTCATTTAAATTTTAAGGCATGTTAGAATTATTTAGAGGCAGCAAGGATTTTGGCAAATACAAGTGGTGTTTAGTTGTCTTTAGTATGATATGTAGCCCTAAGATGAGAAGCTGAGTACTCAGGATTCTATATCAGTATATATATTTTCATTTTGGTTTATTGTAGTTGTATAAGGGTTTTGAAACTGCTTATTTATATATGTGCCAAGGCCTTCCTTTCATCAATATTGATATCTCCGAATGAGACCTATCACCGAATGTTTAATTACTATGAGCAACATAACAGATGTCACTAACTAAGGAAACCGCATCTGCTTACCTTTCCGGAGCACCTGAGGTCACCCCATGATTTGTGTGGGGTTCGTGTTGCTGACTCTTTGTTTTTTTAAAGATTTTTTAGACTTGTGATTTGATTTTCGTTTTGATGCCATGGTATTGTCAGTTTCTCTTTGATTTACGAGTTTTGTTCCCTTGGTTTCTTACGCCTCGTTTTTTTTCTCTACAAGATGAATTCAATGATGTTAAACTGTTTTTTTTCTTTCTGAAAACTATGTGTAAAACCGGTAATCCCAAGTCAAATTTAACATCTTTTACATCACTGTGACAACAAATACTAATGCATCACTAAAGTGTCCCGATCAAATTTATTCATTAAGCATTATAAACAGAATTTCAGAAGGTTTTAAGAAGTAGTCTTCCTTTTCGTCAATTACAGGGGTCTAATGATGGTTCTTTACAAATGTTCTTTAGGATACAGCTTCTCTTAATAGTTGATGGAGATCTTATACAAAGAATGGGAATACTTGTAGTTAAATATTCGCTCGATGGAAAATGAACACTATGTATGACATTTGTGTTTGTACTACATATGTAAAACATTATGGAAATAAAAATTAGTGCAAGCACGTAAATGAAAGTTCTACTTGAACATATTCTACAATAATGCAAATATGAATACCAAAAAAAACAAATGAATGAAATGTTATACATATAAAAATAAGGATCTGTGGTATGATTTTCCTTCAGACAAGTATCCAACAGAGTTTAAATGACGTGTAATTAAGAAACTAAAGGTCACAACACGGCCTTAAATAATATCCTGTTAACATGTAAACTATTATTGTGCCACTTGTTTACATCTAAATCTATAAAAATAGTTGACTAATATTGATTGTACGTATATTTTGTGGCAGAATGTTCTTTTTTTTTTAGATACACCATGCAGCAGCAGTCCATGTAAAAACTCTGGATCATGTTTTCATGCTGATGGAACGTTCACCTGCGTGTGTCCGCCTGGATACCTTGGCGATAAATGTACAGGTAAAAATTACACTACAATATGTCCAAAAACTCTACCAGGTTTTTACCTTTTAGGCAAGTTATCCCTGTACCGTCCAGTAATTAAGAATACGAGCAAAGAATGGTCGGCTCGGGGTCGTACAAATGTGTCCGGGTATGTTAATATGTTTAAGTTGCAGATTTAATGGATGCGATATTAACAAAAGCGATCATATATTAATATATTAACTTGATTAAGATGCCAACAAAGTAACATAGGTATTTCATATTTATAGCTTTTCTGATATAATTGTTGTTGGTTCACAGATGCAGTAGTTATGATTTGTGTTGGCCGTTTGTTAAACTTTTCTCTCCACACATTAAATTCGTTGAATGCATGACATACAAAATATGCATAGGCATGATTTATATTAATGATAAATTTATAACAACTAACAATAAACTATCACAGATATGGACATGAAACTAGCAATCATGACAAATAGTTAGAAACATGAGATGGTGTTTGCCAAGATTCATTTTTTGCATTCCAGAAACACTTTGCAACAGCGCACCTTGTTTTCATGGGGGTCATTGCTTTATAACGAACAAGAGTTTAAATTGCAGATGTCAAGAAGGCTATTCAGGAAAATTGTGCGAAGGTAATAAATGATTATTTATGCTTTGATTAGAACTTTTAGAAATAATGAAATAAATGACAAATATTTACCATTTATTTTTTTTTAATTCTTTTTCGTAAAGAAACTTATTTGTTGGTATGTGATTATAAATCAAGATGTCTTGAACAGCAACATATTCTGCCTACGAAAACGAAAGTAGATGAATTGTGGCTAAAATATTCAAAGAACTTGAAATATGAAATTACTATCATTTTCAATTTATCGTGGCCAATTGCTAATTACTAAAAAAAAATCTTGTAACGGTTAAAATTGTATTTCTTGATTTGTCAGTAAACAACCCATTGCAACCGTTGATAAGTAATAAGTATAAATGATAGTGTTTCGAATCTAGGAAAAAGTCAATGCAAACTTAATGTTATATTCAATAAAGTACAAGTTTTACCCTAAATCATTACGGATTCTCCAGCTTTTTTGTGCTACCTTTTTGTTTTCATCGTAGTATTATATGTGCTGCTGTTTGTCTTTTCGCTAGTTTCTTCAATAATGGGATTGTTTTATTTGACATATAGTTTTTGATTCCCCTTTGGTATCTTTGAAATATTTGTTCAACCTAAAATTAATCATATTAACATTCTTTTCGACTATGTTGAGTAATTCAAAGAATAATTTCTTCAGAAAATCCAAAATCATAAACCCTTATCTAGTTCAGTTGTAAAATAGATTTTTAAAGAGTATATCGTAAAATTGATTCTTCAGTGTATTGAAAGTAGTAGAATGTGCAAATAGATGGATTTTTATACATTTCCAATCAAACAAAATTGCGAGATGAATTGTAATTGTAGTTATCATAATCTGTTTCTAGTAACTCCTTGCACCGGGCAACCTTGTCTCAATAAAGGCAGTTGTGATATGAAAGGAAGCATCTTTAACTGTACATGTTCACAAGGATATTCAGGCCGTTTGTGTGAAGGTATGTCTTATTGATACAATCAAATAAAGATGAAAGAACTTCACGAGATAAGCAGAATTGATATTGCTTTTTTCATTTGAAATATTCATAAGAAGGAATTTTGAAAGTCTTTTAAAACAGACAAATTATGTATCAAATTGGATGTAATATAAAAAGCACAACAATTTGATTTACCAAAAATACATATTTCTAATTTTAATTAAAACATGCTAATAATTTGCTTACAATCACTTAATTTATCAGTGACACCATGCAACAGTAATCCATGTGTAAACTCTGCGTCATGTCTCAACTTAAATGGCAGTTACATATGTGTTTGTCCAACAGGATATTCTGGAAAACAGTGTGAAGGTATGATTTTAAAATTTGTTTTCATCATATTATACATGCTAATGTGCAGAATGAAAAACTGTACAAGGAGCAAAATATTTAATTTTACATTGACGTTTTCGATAATCATAGTAGTACTTCAAAAACAAACCGATTTTAGTTTGTAAGACTCATGTAACTGGAATAACGCATACAGTACGCTTGAGACCAATCGTTTGGAAAGTAATGAAAAATTTCCTGCACAAAACAAACTTCCCAAAAGATTCCAATAATCTAGTACGACAGACAAGCGTATCGTCTGCATTACATCCACTTGCGAGTTACGCTTGAAACACATTTGTAGTAAGATACAATCATAAACAAAGTTCTTATTAAATACAAAAAAGTCCAAATCTGTCTACGGTCATTTTTTAATGGTGGTACAAACGAATCCAAGTTTAATTGATCAGACGAATAGTACAGTGCATCTAATTTGGATATTAAAACACATTAACAGAATTCAAAATATTGTGTCATAAATTGTTTAAATTATTTCTTAATTGACCAGCATACATATACCACTTCATCTACTAAGATATCAAAGTTTTTCCATAGTTGATCCATGTGATGGGTTTACATGCAATAATGGAGGGACAAAAACTGTGTCAGGCGCTACCTGTCAATGTTCATGTAGAGATGACTTCTTTGGTTCATCATGTGAAGGTATTTCTTTCCAGTAGCTTGTATTATACATGGGTTCACACTTTTGTATAGACATGATTACTGTATTTTCGTAGTAGGTGACAGTTTTTAAAGGAAGTACCAAAATATAAAAGAATGTTTTACTATATCTAAAATTATAAAAGTTAAATTTGATTAAATGTGACACTTGAATAAGAAGAAAAAAGAAGGGCTGCCGTTTTATACACTGTAGTCATAATATTTACCAAGTGTAAGTACAAAAGCTCATTAAAAATATCAGGCTTTTAATTTAATACACAAGACCAGAGTTATGTCTACTCATAACATTGACACTCCAGTCAAAACTAATTTGACTCTTAGTCGGATAAAAAAAAATCGAAAAGACAAAGCAACCGGTTAATTTTAAGAATGACTATTTTTGGTAACAGGAAGACATAATTTACAATAGTTTATAATGTAGATGTATCTTCAATTATACTATCATCTTAAATATCGAAATGCATTTTAAAATAGTATTAATTATAATAAAACTAAAACAATATATTGTAAAACGTTTTTATATCAGATTTAGTATACTGGCAATACGTCATTACAAAATATTTGTAAACAATTGAATTGTCTGCTAACATTTAAGCTATCTTTGAAAACGATAGTATATTTTAGTTTGTAACCCGGATTTGTTTTCTCTCAATCGATTTATGACTTTTGAACAGCGGTATACTACTGTTGCCTTTATTTATGTTTACCTTTTTTCCAGTAACGCCTTGCAGAAGCCGTCCTTGTGGTCATGGTGGTAGCTGTTCTATATCAGGAGACTCTTTTAGTTGCGATTGCTTACAGGGATATTCGGGCAAATTATGTGAAGGTAACTCTGACGTATTCAAAAAGATTAAACAGAGAGGTTAAGTTTAAACGATAATCGTATGCATATGCTTTACAATTATTAGAAGGGATTTTTAAAATTCAAAATTTTTTCAAACTATTTTATGTTTAACAGCTGATTTATTTTTGAATTTCAAATGTCATAAGATGCCATGCTTACAATTTACATAATACAAAAATGTTTGCCAAATCTGGATAAGACCATACATATCTTAGGTAGAAACAAATTATTTTTTTGTATGATTCCGATGTTTCATTAACCATGAATTTTAAAGATCATATCCGCAACAGTAATATTCCATGTCATCTTAGGAGCAACGTCTTCTGAGCTGATGATGCTTTCGGAGACAGAGGTTCAGCAGCAATGGCATTGACCCAGTTATTGTAAAAAATCATCAACTATTTTATAAACTTCAATTCAAATTTAAGATGTAATGAATAATAAGATGCGCGTTGCGTATTTATAAGACTCATCAGTGGTGCTCAAATCAAAACAGTACAAATATCAAATCAATTTCGAACGTGGAGAACAAATAACCTAGACAACTGCTGAATTATAGGCTTCTGAATTGGGAAATGCACGTACAGATAATGGCGGCATATCAGTTTGAGAAAAGCATTGCCTTTTGAAATGGCAAAACATGACTATTGAAAGGATGTATGACCAAACGTGTTAATAACTGTGTAGTCATAGATAAGTCCATTTATGATCGTGGTTAGAGAGACATACGTGTTTTGAATGATTTGAATGTGTTTTATAAACAGTACATATGAAACAGATATCAATGTATTTAATTGTTATACATTTATATGATAAATTGTCTGGTACATTCGTTTGATATATGGAATTTGTAATAATATTTGTTAAACATTGTCACAGTTAATATTTGAAAACATAGAAATTAATATGTGTTAAAAGCATAACTAAGAATGTTTTTAGCAGCACTTAATTTCATTTCAATTATAAAATAAAATCGATGTCAAGATATAATTTGGTGAAATTCATTTCATCTTTGGTAATTGTAGACATGTATTTGATATAACGGCTGATGTATGTTTTCTGTAATGAATAAGTCTGATCATTGTGGCTATCCACTTTTCTTGTGGAAAGACTTATTGAATTTGTTCTGATTATTAGGTCTTTCCACTTTTCTGTGGAAAGACCTTTTGTATTTGTTCTTATTATTAGGACTTTTCACTTTTCTGTGGAAAGACCTATTGTATTTGTTCTGATCATTATTATTTTTTTCATCCGCCAAATTTAGAAATTTTTGTTTCGCAATATGTCGCTTAGATATTTCTAATATTGTATCGTACAGTTTATGCGCTTTTAAATTTTACCCTGCTAAGCCGAACCAGTTCCTTTGTAAGAGTTATCTCCCTATTCACTGTTTATCATGTGTTTGCATCTCCTTCGTAACAAAAAAAGATATCGACAGAATTCTTTTCACAAATTGTTTGTTACATCATCAGGAATGTTTGGCTAATATAGAACAAAGCGATCCAGTGAGATCTTATAGGAGTTATCTGCCTTTATCAAATACATTTTTTGTTATGTTTTTGTAACACATGAACCGTAAGCCGTATAAAACAATTTGACCAAAATGTTAGTCGCGACATAATATAAGTTGAAAGTCTTTGTCGAAAAGGTACGCGTCCTTGTTTTAGGGGTTCCATGCCACTGAAACGGTAAAATGAACAAAATGAACTAATTATAGCTTTAAAATTTGCAGTTAGCATGATGTATACATGCATCTTATTGTGATTTATCAACCAAGGTCCACCATCCTCCACTCCTACCAACCCCCCCCCCCCTTTTTCTTTGTTTCTTTCTTTTTGGAGGAATCCCATTTCGCCTTGAAATCCAGTCCTGTACATTTTACTGTAAAAATGCAATCTTTCTTATAAACAAACTTCTTAAATAGAAATTCATTCCTGCAAAAATCTGCTCCAATTCATGTGTTTTCTGAAATTAATCGATGAACGATTTGTTAAAATACTAAAATAACAGCATTATGTTTGTGTGAATGCATTGAACGACAATAGTTAACCTGTAAAATAGAAAATGAATCAAGTAAAAAAAGTTCCCGTTAGTTGCGGTCCGCTTGATTGCGAAATAAAATTCAATGACGTAGAAATTGATCCTAAATTCGTAAATATTGCTGAATTCTTACATTCAAATTTCTAAACATGCATTAAAATACAATTATGTGCTCCCGTAAACATGTATACGTAAGATGCATGCATGATCCGTCGTCAATGACCTGTAAATCATAAAACCAATATTGATCGTGTTTCTCCGATCATTACACATGTGCTCTGTTCAACGGTCTCCCCTGAAAAGAAATTAATATTCTCCAGACATTTAAATTTGAGCGTCATGTGACTTCAAAACACCCTCGCGCGCGCTGACCTAAAATTAGAATGAAACATTCTATATCCAAATATAGAAAGTGAAACTTCCAAGACAAAATGTTACTCAGTTTTTTCCTACATGTTCAAACAAAATGCACACACAACACGTAAAAAAAACCATGAAGTACGAGTTCCAATAGAAAATAAAGTAAATTAAAAAAAAAGAAGATGTAAGGACTTTTATTCAATAGGATATCCCGAAAATGTCCGTTTGGGGGTGCAGGATGTATAAGTACGCAGCCACGTCGTTGGTCAGAATATCGACTTTAAGTCCTAGGCCTCGCTAAGAGAGAGATAATGCCATGCAGACTTTCAATCAATCAATCAATCAATCAAACAATCAATCAATAAATCAATCAATCAACCAACCAACCAACCAACTAATCAATAAATCTGTTTAATACGGGGCCCAAGATCGCATTTGTTTCTTTTTCGCTCGTTCCAAGAGACCCTATCCCATGTGTTTAATTAATATGTCAGTCAACCAACCAACCAACTAACCAACCAACCAACCAATCAACCAATCAATCAGTCAGTCAATAAAAAAAATCAACTATTCATGTTTCGGAGGGGAAAAACCGTTTAAGAATTGTTTTTAAAACAAATGATTTATATTTATTATTTTTTTCTTCCGCCAAATTTTGATCTCGCGTAAAATTTTTGTTTCGCAATATGTCGCTAAGATATTTCTTATATAGTATCAAACAGTTTATGCGCTTTTTATTTTCGCACATTCTAAGCCGAACAATTTTCTTTGTAAGAGTAATCTCCCTATTCACTGTTAATCAAGTGTGTGCATCTCCTTCGAAAACAAGATATCGACAAAATTCTTTTTCTAAATTGTTTGTTACATCCTCAGGAATGTTTGGCTAATTTGGATCAAAGCGATTCGATGAAATTTTATAGGAGTTATCTACCTTTACAAAATAAATTTGTCGGTATGTTTTTTTAACTCATAAACCGTTAACCGTATAACCATGGAATCTTTTTATTTGAGGTCCATTGGTCCTAACTTAGAAAATGAGGTCAAGGTCAAAGGTCAAGGTCAAGTTCTCAATTTTGACTTTTCCTTGTTTTTGCATTTTCTCCAACACTTTTAAAGATATATATGAAAGAACAAGTGCAAAATGTTTGCTTTATTGTAATGAAGATATGTTACATTTGGTTTGAAACAATCTAATGGCATCTTATAGGAGTTAGTGCTCCTGATATGTCTAATTATAAGGTTGATTGATTATTACTTCAACTTGGTTCATTATAAAGCCATATGACCTTTTACAAAAGGTTGGGTGACATATGACCTTGATAAATGACAACCGGAAGTATCCATTTTTGCACTTTCTTCATGGAAAAGTACTCGGAATCCATATTTTTTGTAATCTTAATACATTAACTTATCACTAAAGACTAGAAATGACTTTCGATAACCGGAAGTGACAAATTATCTTCTGGTTTACAGGCAAAAGTATATAGAAACTATATTTTTAGAATCAGTGTGGAAGAAACTATCATATGAGACCGGAAGTGACATTTACTTCACAGGAAGTAGCTAATTATCTCCCTTACTTCACTCAGAAGTATATAGAAACCACTTATGTATCGCATCAGTATGAAGAAACTGATAAGATGCCAATTTTAACTTTGAGTAAACAAGAACTAGCTTCTTTTCAATAAATTTGAAAATTGCTGTGGAAAGACCTTCAATTGTTCTCTGAAAAATTGGTTTTTTATTATTATTTTATTTTTTGTCTTCCGCCAAATTTGTTTCTTGCGTGTTAATATTGTTTCGCAACATGTCGCTTAGATATTTGGTATATGCTATCGAACAGTTTATGCGCTTTTAAAGTTGACCCTGCTAAGCCGAACAATTTTCTTTGTAAGAGTTATCTCCCTGAACACTGTTTTTCTTTTTTTTGTACATCTCCTTCGCAGCCGTAAAAGATTACGACAAATTTATTTTTTCCAAATTGCTCGATATATCCTCAGGATGTTTAGAATAATTTTGACCGAAGCGGTATAGAGATTCCATATGAGAGTTATTTCCCCTTATGCATTTGATATAAGTGATATGCATTTGTTATTGGTAAACCATAGGTGATTGAGGTCCTTGGTCCAAAAAAAAAAATTAAAAAAATTAGGTCAAGGTCAAAGGTTAAGGTCATATTCTAAATTTTGATTTTGGGTTATTTTCACTTCTTTTCAAAAACTGCATAAGATATCGACGACATATTTTTACTAAATTGTTAGTTGCGACATGTCGTTACACAAATGTTTGGTTGAAAGGGTACATAGACACCAAATAGGAGTTTCCTCCCCTCTTATATTTAAAATCACGCGTATGGTGATATAACTCATTAACTATATATGATTAAGACCTAGGGTCTTTTGATTTGAGGTCCTTGGTTTATGACCTTAAAATTGAGCTCAAGGTCATAGGTAAATTTGACGTGCTAGATTTTGACCTTTGCTTTTATCTCATTTGTATACATGATGAATTTAATATTTTCACATCAAAATAGATCTTTACAGGTGGAAAGACCTTTAATTGTTCTCTGAACAATTGGTTTTTAATTTATTAACATATTCTTGTTGACTGTTTTGTCAGTGACACCATGCAGCAGTAGTCCATGTGAAAATTCTGGATATTGCGTAAATGCAAATGGAAGCTATGTTTGTGATTGTCCAATAGGCTATTCTGGGAAACTTTGTGAAGGTACAATATTCTCAAAGAATACTAACATTTTGTTTTAAAAGTTAACGTGTGTCTTTCATATATTGAGTGACAGACTACGAATCCTCAATTTCATCATGTATTGTTATTGGTAACCTGGTTCCTCATTGACTACGCCTTCATGCCTTTATGTTCTTTGTAACCATTATAAAACTCTTCATTACAATGTTATGAGAAAGAAAAACAAGCTTATAGTGTCAATTATCAAATCTTCACACCTATAGAATCCAATTTTTCGTCATATAAACGTGTTATATCGGAATAGATAAAACAATAAGTATTACTAGTATGCATTGAACATGTTGGGAGGCCTCTTTCACAGCAATATTGATCTTAGTTGGTGGTATTGAATGGGATATTGGAAAAAATCAAAAATAAATACGACCCAACATTTTAGTGTACATGAAGAAGTCTATTCGTTCTGTGAAGGTTTTTCGTTTTTTTTTTGGCAAATTTTATGGGAGAGTTGTTTTCTTGTCTATATATATATGTATATTGTTCACAGTTGATCCGTGTGGTGGTTTTTCATGTTATAATGGAGGAACAAAAATTATATTAGGACGAACGTGTGACTGTACATGTAGAAGTGGCTTCTCTGGATCATCATGTGAAGGTACTTTTTTCTTGTCGATAATTCATAATACTTATGACGGCATTTCGCAGTATGAAATCATTTTTAAAAGGTGCACAATAATATTCAATATTACATCATTAACAACTTTATCTAGCCGATTGACATTGAAATAACCAATGGGATTAAATATATTATAACAAATGAATATAATCTTTGCACAGCTGAAATACTCACATTGTACTAAGATAAGAATAAAATATGTAGATATAGATATTTTTATATTAATTGAGTTCTGTATGACAACATCTTATATTTAGCCTAAAAGTCAGAATCATTTGGATTTGAATACCGTTAAGACTGCAATATGCCAGGAGACAAAGTGATGATATTAAGATGTCTATACAAGAAACGAAAGAAATATGAAGTGGAATGATATCATTGTAACAGAAACATATTGAATTTACATGGCTGATTCAATATTTTGCAATACTGACAGAAAGTTTATAAATATGATAAATATTTCAACTGACTGCAACATTTTGGCAAATCGTACGGTAGGATCAGGTTTGTTTTTTATTCAAATTTACTTCCAGTAACACCCTGCAGCAGCCAGCCTTGTTTGCACAGTGGCAGCTGTTCTATATTTGGGAGCAGCTACAGTTGTGACTGTTTAACGGGATACTCAGGGGAATTATGTGAAGGTATTGATAAGTGGTTAACATATAATAATGCATTCGGTACTAGCAAGTTTTTTCATTCGCTATAATTTAACGTCAAATCTACACAATTGACATGTCTTGGGACGCCATTTTGAAATGATGGCATTCACCAATGTTTGATAAATATAATATAATCAAAAATAAAAATAAAGTTCCTCAAAAATGTTATTTCGTCCAGTTCTTAATCGTACAAGTAAGTAAATCACCTTCGGTTTTAACATTTTTTTATTTGTATGACGTCATCTTTTGTAATATGTTTATGCATTAAAATACTTCATGAATTTTCGCGGAATCTATTTTTATCTTCAATTTATTAATTTTTTCAAGCTTTAATGTGCAATTTCTTTTTGTTTAATGCATTAAAATAAGAATAACAATACTGCAACTGAAGATATGCCACTACGCTTGGCCAGTAAAACTGCATTTGCGACCGTCAAATCGCTAATTGACGGAGGCAACTCTTCAACTACAGTACGGTAATTCTTAAGTAAAGATACAAATAGAGACAGAGCTATTATAAGTTAACAGGGTGTCACTAACTTCTAATTGCTTTACATTAATAAAATGATTTTGTATTTTGATAAATGAAAATATTTTTACTTGAAACTTCGATTAAAATTTTAGATGTAATGAATATAAAGATGCTCAATCTGTATACAGTTAAAATGTTGTATGGCTTTGTAAAAACTAAAAAAAAGAGAGAAAAAAAAAAAAAAAAAAATAAAAACCAAAGCGTATGTACTGTAAACTCACACTCAGAGGGAGAGAGAGATTATGCATTTTCGAATTTTAAAGATTTCAGTGTATATATCAATAAGTTAACTAACCAAATGTTTTAGTATTTAATTAAAAAGTTTTTAACTTCAAATGCTTTTTTTCTCAAAGCATAAAAATTAAATTAAAAAAATAAAATATTCCTATAATGCAGTGATTGTTTTTTTTTACATTGTCCATTGAACCAGTCACTCCTTGTAGCAGCCATCCTTGTGAACATAACGGAACATGTTTTAGTGCAAATGGAAGTTATGTATGCTCTTGCCCTGCAGGATATTCTGGCAAAACGTGTGAAGGTACATTATGGAAATTTAGTTGGCATTTATAGTACTTGCTATTCAGCAATCATATAAAAGATATGAAAGTAATTTTAAACGTGTTTTCAATACCCTTTTATTATAGTCACGAAGTCGGTAAGACCAAAATGGTTCAAACACATGCCTAATGAGTCTTTGCAACAGATGATTTACAATGTAGCACGATGAAGTCATTATAGAAACAAAACGTACATGTAAGTCCGGAAATTTAAAAACAAATACTTTGATATTTTCAAATGTTTAAATTTAAGCTGTTCTTAAAAGGATTTTGTTATTCTCTTCGAATTTATATTTTTCAATATTTCGGGAACAGGGTTTTTTTACTTTTGTCGGTGCTGGATCGTTGATGTGAAGACATAAACTTAGTAAAGGCAGAAGACTTGAAAATATATTGCGCATAGTACAGAAAAAAGATTAATCGTATGCTTAGTACGAATTAGGCAATAAACTTGAGTTGATATATTCATATTCAAAAGAATAAAACACATGAATGACATGGTTTCGTCATCGGGTACTCTCTATATTAAAACTCTTAAAAGCTGAATTTTATCATTGAGAACAAAACGTAAAAGGGCATAAACATATCTACGAAGTATCTACGGTACATTTTCTCTGAAGGCGTTGCAATCTCAATTTTTAATAACGTAATAAAGAGAACTAGAAATATGCAGACAAAGGGCAGAGGTTTGATTAGAGCAATTATTTTGCCTCTGAAATAATGAAAAATAGCGAAAGTCTGATGCCTTTCAGAATCTAGTATTTGTTATTGGCAATAGTAAGGATGAATAAATCTCGACACTCTAATATAGAAACACTATTGGTGATATTTCTTCGAATTACGTTTACATGTCGAAATTGATATATGTGACCTAACATCGCAATTCTATGCATATTATTGATCAAATCCATACATTAAGAGACAATTTGCAATCATAAACATAATTGAAAAATTGTATACATTTTTGTTTCTACTTTTTTTTCAGATATTTAAAATCTCATTCTTATATTTTGCAATTGCAGTAACACCTTGTAGCAGAAAGCCTTGTTTTAATAATGGCAAATGTTTTATAATGGGAGACGCATTTAATTGCAGCTGTCTAGACGGGTTTTCCGGCAAATTGTGCGAAGGTAAATTGTGTATTGTAATAGAAGATATTTTCTTCATTTATATACATATATGATCGAGAGAATATAATTTATTTTTTATCTCTAGCTCTCTTTCCTTGTCTTATTTTAAAAGTAACATTTTCAAAAACACATATGCTTTGATTTGCTAAACAGGTGAAAATAAGTGCTAGTGACTAAGTTTTTTAAAAATGTTAAAGGTAAAATCATATTTACCTTGAGTATTTTTAAAGATAGATTTTTTTCCCTTCAAATTTTAGGTAAGGTATCAAATGAATAAATCCCCAGAGAATAATCAACCAACGATTATATGGGCTTAAATGTCTAGATAGCAGGAAAAATAATGTTTATGTATATATCATTAATTTGAACCAATGTGAATGTGTTTGCTTTAACCACATAATAGAAGTAATGTCTTATTTCATGGCACTCAGATTTTGGTGGGATTTGTTCTTTAGTTTTCTATGTTGTGTTTTGTGTACTGTTGTTTGTCTATTTGTTTGTTTGTCTGTTTGTCTTTTTCTATTTTAGCCATGGCGTTGTCAGTTTATTTTCGACTTTGAGTTTGAATGTCCCTTTGGTATTTTTCGGCTCACTTTTTTCAAATATACGTATGATTCTGAACCGCGATGGTCACGCTGATGTACGATGGTTTGACGCTGAAGTGCGTTTTTTATCACGCTGAGGTGTAATGGTGGCATTGTGACGCTTACTTGTTGATTGATTCGCCGAAGTGCGATGTTGGTAACGCTGAAGTGCGATGGTCTATACAAACTACATTTTCAATGCTTTTCATGTCAATGTAGAAGTCAATTTGTATGTTAGAAGCAGTTTTTTTTAGTTTTTAAGTGTTTTTAAGTTAATAGGCGGGTAAACCTTTAATACTACAAGAAACGGAGAGAATTGGTGGATAGGGGAAAGTTTACCTTCTGTTGTGTGTTTTTTTATTTTTAAATCTACAAAAGGTTCCTTTTTCGTACGATGGAGCGTTGTATTCTCTAAATTCATACGGGTCCGCAGACAGACTCTCCGTATTATGATATTACGGTTAACGAGGAACCCATGAGAGGAACAAAGTAATGATAAAATGTTAACGCAGAATTGTGTCCACATGCAGAAAATCAAAGAGGACGATCTTTCATTTAGTATGCAACTGAAATTAAGGACAGACATAGACAATAATGAATGTATTTTTTTTACTAACATTTAAACAAATCTGCTTCTCATAATAAATGCAGATCTGTAGATATTAAACTAGCCATCACGGTCAAACAGACCATCGCACATCAGCGACCGGACCAACGCACTTCGGCGTAGACCATCGCACTTCAGCGTGACCATCGCACTTCAGCGTCCCATTGCACCTCTGAGTCCTACATGTATAAGTAAAAATAATCAAATACCAAATGTACGCAAATTTTTTCAGCAACAGCACTAATAATACAAGCATCACAGCATTTGTAGTAAACAGCCATAAATGATTTGATAAAAAAGGCAAGATCCGTATCATAAAATGAGAGATCATATGATAACTTGATAAATAAATGAAAATAACTTTTCGTAGCTTTGCTTTGTTCAAAGTGCCTTTTTTTTATTCCCTTTCGGCAGGAACGTTTAACAACAAAAATGTGGAGGCCAATGATATAAACACAAGAATACTGGAAGTGCTATATGACCAAAAGGGACCTAGAAAATATCCAAATACCTTTTAGGTCAACTTTAGCGGAGGGAGTTATAGTTGTTTTTTTTTGACAAAATCATAATTTCAAAGGAGAATCTAAGAAAAGTAAACATTTAAAAGAAAACAAAACAAATATAAGAAAACAAAGTCTAACAACAGGTGATATTATATAGTGTGTCTTTCTATGTTGTAATGTTACACTACTATTTCAGGTTAGGGTGAAGGTTGGCGCCTGTAAAAACGTTTAAACCTCTGCATTTGTTTGCACCTGTCCTAAGTAAGGAATCTATTTCAGTGGTTGTCGTTTGTTGATGTGGTTCTTAAGTGTTTCTCGTTTCTCGTTTTTTATACAAATTAGACTGTTGGTTTTCCTGTTTGAATTGTTTTACACTGGTCATGTTGGGGCCTTTTATATCTTGCTGTTCGGTGTGAGCCAAGGCTCCGTGTTGAAGGCTGTACTTTGACCTATAATTGTTTACTTTTTACACATTGTGTCTTGGATGGAGAGTTGTCTCATTGTCACTCATACCACATCTTCTTATTTCTATTATTAGAATAATATAAAAACGAAGAACCGTTCCAAAATTATCTGATTTTGTTTTATGGAAATTTGTTTTCAGTAACATCTTGTAGCAGTCAACCTTGTCTTCATGGTGGTAGTTGTTCAATATCAGAAAACAGCTTCAGTTGTAATTGTTTAGATGGATACTATGGCAAACTGTGTGAAGGTATCTGTGTAACTGAATAATTTTAAAAATAGAAAAAAAAAGACGGTGACTATGATATATTATTTTTGTATACTCTTCCAAATAGTGCAAATGTATTATTAACAGAATACATGAACTAAAATAGAAGATAACGACCAGAAGACATGTTCGCAATTGGTTTTACTGATAATTGTTAAAACAATAGTGGCTTTAATTATAAGCAACACTGGAGAGTGTACAGTATACAGATCACAATGAATAATCAACGATTTGAAAAGGAATATTCAATATTAATCTACACAATGAGTGATTGATTGATTGCTTAACATCCAGTGGGAAATATTAAATGTATGTTCAGATAAGAATGAATGAACAATAAATCAAACGAAAACAAAACAATTAGGAATACATATGATGTAAAAACTGAATTTTGTTGTTACGAATTTAGTACCGATGTCCTCTTCTGATAAATGGATTAAGATGAACAATGAAGACAACAAAAAACTGGGCGAGTCGCATATAAACTACAAAAGAAGCCATACCATATTGGTCAACGTCCCTTGCTATCATGTCGTCATGAACATGCATGAAATATTTGCCAATGGACGTTAAGCAATTAACAATCAATCAATCCTGCTCTCATGCATCACCCGCTATGCGAATCCACTGTTTCATAAAAGCGGATACCTTTTAAATTAAAATACTTATTATTTCAACTTTGTTTTAGGTAAACCATGCAGCAGTAGTCCTTGTGTTAATTCTGGATCATGTTTCAATGTTGATGGTGGCCATATTTGTGTTTGTCTAATAGGATATGCTGGAAAACTGTGTGAAGGTATTATCAACAGAACGTTAAGTACAAATAACACATAATACAATAACTTACAAAATTACAAATTCAGCTAAGTTTCAGGGTAAGAAACTTTACATAACCGATGACGTATAGTCAATAAAAGTAAACTATCAACCCAATATTGCATAATAGCTTATAACTTTATACTACTTATTAAGGTATTTTATAGGAGAACACAACATAGGTCACATGTTTAGCAGGATCTGCAAACACTGTAAGTGTATCAGAGATCACATTCGGTTTTTGGTGAGGCTCGTGTAGCTCAGTCTTTAGTTTTTTTAATGTTGTGTTTTGTAGATTGTCGTATCTTTTTTGTCGTTTTTTTACATTTTTTTTGCAATGGCGTTGTCAATAAGTCTTCGACGTATGAGTTTCAAGTTCCCTTAGATATCATCTACCTATCATTTTTTTTTAATGTTATACATCAATCATACTGATGATATAGTTTTTTGTAAAATGATCAACAAATGTATTTCATGCAATAACTTTCGTGCCTTTAAATTTAGATCCTGATCAAACCGAAAAATCCAAACAATTGTATTGCCTACTTCTCCGCTACTCAGGCGTCATATAAACCAATTGCCTCGTAATGAGAGTAATATATCCGAGTAGAATTACATAACTTCTAGTAGATTGTTTTCCTGTCAACTGGCACATTGATTTAGGGTAGCTGTAGCTTTCCTACGTTCACATCAAGGTATAACAAATTAAACAAAAACCAAGGGAATCAGATGACTAATAAAAGAAAGAGACCAGGTGCGTGAACATGGTAAGTGTCTCCTGCTTTGCATGCATCACTCACATGCGAAATCGTGTTCTGTCAATATGTCACAATCGGGGATAAGATCCAATCGGTAAACTAACAGATCAGACTACTGTAATAGTATCTTAAGAATAAGACCGCGATATCAAGTCGCTATTGCGTTGAGATACTGACGCATCGAATTGGTAAACCAATTTATGATGGTTACCGTTTAACTTATATAGTGTCGATTTCAGTTGTTCTTTCTCATAATTGTGTTCAATCAGTTCAATAATTAATGAAAAGAGCAATCATGCACGAACGTAATATTGTAGCTGATATGTTTAAACGTCATGCGTTGGGCCGGAGTGTATGTTTCTGCTGAGAAATGTCCGGTTAAGCATGTAAAACAACGCATGGCTTATATTTATATCACGTTACTGAATATGCATTTAATTTGCCACAAGACATAAAATAATCATCCTCATCTGTGTTATTTAAATTAAAATCAATTTCACAGTTGACCCATGTGATGGTTTTTCTTGTGATAATGGAGGAACAAAATCTGTATCGGGGACAACCTGCCAGTGCACATGTAGAAGTGGATTTTCTGGATCATCATGTGAAGGTATTTCTTTTTGTAATTAGGTTGCCCGTTGGTTCATGATCTGTTTTAGTTTTATTTTAAAGTATTAATCATATCAACAACAGTGTTATTCTTGTTGTATAATATTCTGTAAAAAAGTTATCAAATCGCTAAAAAGAATAACATTAATTTCAGGCGTTGGACGATGTATGTAGTAGAATCAAATAAAGCTTGTCACATAAAGGGGTTACAAGGTTTTATGAATTTTGAAATTGTATATATTTAGATCTATATAAGCTTAGGGAAATTAAGTATAACATGTGTGTTATTGTTATTAATCAAATAACTTTTTAGATCTAAAAAAGCTAAAACAACGTTTCCTACTGAAAGGAAATTTAAATACGATGTATAAAACGTTAGAAAATGCACATGTTTTTTTTTTATCGTATATAAATTTAATTTTGCTGTAATTGTTAAGCCTATAATGTTAACTCACAACTGTACAATTGTATTATTTTTCTGTATACCTTTGTATCCGTAAGGGTTTTTATCAGAATAAAGCATATATTTTAATTTCAGAAGTATATCCTATTCTATAGTATTACGTAAACTAAAATAAACATATCAAAACGGAATAAGGATTGAAAAAATATTTGATTGCTTATAATAGTAAATACTGAAATCATATAAACATGCCATGAAGATTCCATTTGACATTAAAATGTAAGAAACAAGGGGAGAGGTTGATTTGATTTTTTATATTATCTGCAGTAACGCCATGTAGTAACCAGCCTTGTTTTCACGATGGTAGTTGTTCTATATCAGGACACAGCTACAGTTGTAATTGTTCAAAGGGATATTCGGGCAAACTATGCGAGGGTAAGTTAATTATCATTTTTTTTAGAAGACCTGGTATTATTTGAAAACACGGTTTCATTTCTGAGAAGCGATTTTTTTCAGCTATTGGCGCTATTTTTTTATGAAGGAAGTTCATATTAAAAAGAAAATATCAAATCGCCCATAACAGGTTCAATATACGTTATTCCGGTAGGTATGACACGCAAATGAAGTATATGAGGATTTTTAAAAAGCCGTTTTAAAGCAATTGAACAATGCACAAATATTTCAAAGAATGCATGGTATTTTCCTGAGCCGGTTGTATTGTCAACAGGAAGACTGCATCAATATCAATCAAAAAAATAATGAATATTATGTTCATTCTTATTCCCAAACCTATGTACAAATCCTTATAAGTTATGTTTTATTTAAATGTTAAATTGTAATCATCAATAGAATAGATCTATAGTTAACGTGAAAATTACTACGTGCTACAATTAGATTGGTTTTTTTTCTCTTGCTCCAGTGACACCATGCAGCAATAGTCCTTGTGTCAATTCTGTTTCATGTCTTAATGTTAATGGCAGCTATCTGTGTGTTTGTCCTAAAGGACACTCTGGAAAATTATGTGAAGGTACAAATTACTTATCATTATCGTCACTTAATTTATAGAAATAGCATACATTATATCTATTCAAAGTTTTTTTTATATAAGTTATGTAATCTTAGATAATCGAAAGTTCTCTGTAAATACAATGATTCAATTCTGGTCACTGTTAGCATTAACACAGATATTCCAAAAGGTGTGCATTGTAAGTAAAGGAGTAAGTTCGGTAAGGCCCCGATTATTAAGTTTAATGTTTTATGATAAAACGTGTTTAAATGTGATGAAAACATATGAGAAAGTTAAATAAATCTTTTTTTGCGAAAGTTTTATTTTCAAGCATTGATTTTTACATCCCAAAATAGGTTAAAAATAGAGATTTTTGCAACATTGCACAAAATCGTCCGGATTTCAACCTAATTACGATGTAGGAAACATAGAGCGCAGGCGTCGACAAACAAAATATTCAAGTCAAATATGTAAAATTTCATAAAAAAACATTATGCTAAAACATCTTTGTTGTCGACGCATGCGCTCTATGTTTCCTCTCCAAAACGTCAACGTAATGTTTACCTGTTTTCATCGAATTTTAGCGGAAAATCAAATAGAGTGCTATTTGTGAACACAAAAACATAAATTTTCAACAAAAAGACGTTTTTCCAATCTAGTCATTATATTACCATTGATTCTTTGTGACATTAGTCAATAAATCCTAATTTCAAATTTCAGCTAGAATAAAGGGCCATTTTAGGGCCTTACCGAACCTACTCCTTTCATATTGGGTGAGAGCGTAAGCACATTGTGTATCAAATCTATCTTATCGACTATTTTAACGTGTGGAATTCAGACCAGTGGCCTATTAAAGCAATCAAGGCTTCAATATTAATAACCTACATATATTGGTCCTTACAAAAACAAATATCATCAATAACAATTTGTTAGACTTTAAATTTTTGCATTTATTTTGCAATCGTTGATCATCAATTTCTCCATCTCTTCTATGGGCGAAACGTTTCAGATTTTTTTCAACATCATGTTTTGATATATGGACGTAGCACTGCTACTAACCGTGTCTTAAAATAAAACACGCCCAGTTACCCAATATTGAATATACAAGTCTCCGGGTGTACGCTTTTAAACAATGATATTCCTAGAAATTTATAGGAGGTAAGATAATAATCAATTTACGAGATTTGAACAACGGTAAAAAGAAAATACTCATTAACGATACTAAGGTTATTATATCTGAAACCAGGTGCACGTTTCTTCTATAAAAGACGTGTCATTGACACTCGTCAAAAATAATGAATAGGCCAAATACAGTACGAAGTTGTAAAGCATAGCTGCTTTTGCCTTAATTTAAACCAACGGGTTAATTTTCCTTTTTCTAAAGTATCAAGTAACAGAACGGTATACACCAATTTTTACAATGATATATAAATGATATATTAAAATAAATTAGACTTTAATACATGTAATCATATAAATAATATTTCAAAAAGGTTCCTACTAAAGGAATTATTAAAGCAACAGGGGAGGTTGAAATTAATTATTTAAATTGTTTGCAGTAACACCTTGCACCAGTCAGCCTTGTTTTCATGATGGTAGCTGTTCTATATCAGGAAATAGCTATATTTGCAATTGTTCAAATGGATTTTCGGGCAAGTCATGTGAAGGTAAGTTTAACATAATATATATGAAAAAGAAATTCACGTGAAGCGCGGTTTTATCTATGTTAATGTTTCTTCAGAAGCGATGTAATAAACTGGAGAGGAAATTTTTATTCTGGTAAAAGATTAAGTGAAGACAGTTCTTCTGTAAACAAATAAACAGTCATCCCTTGCATTTTTTCTACCTGAGGAATAGATTATCTTAGCTGTATTTGGCAAGAATTTTGGGTCCTCATTGCTCTTCAACTTCGTACGTTATTTGGCCCTTTAAAATTTTTTTGATTCGAGCGTCACTGATGAGTCTTTTTCAGACGAAACGCTCGTCTGGCGTACAAAATGTTAATCCTGGTATATATGATGAGTGTATATCTACTTTAAACCGACAGTCTTATATTTAAACGAGGTGTAGGTCAGGTTTATATCTAGCGTAGTGAAGAAGGAAAAAATAAACAATAAAAGTTCAAAGAATGTATTTCCTATACACTGTACTTATCATCATGAATTAAGTTTGATTTACCCAATACGTAGTTTTGATAAATAAAGTAAATCTATATAAAAATATGAAAACAACAACCTAGAAATCTATATAAATAATAGTTTCGTTTCATATAATTATTAAAAAAAATCCTTCAACCAGATTGCCATATCAAATTAAACCACTGTCTATAATGATAGGCAATGTATGCATTAAACTCAGCGAAAATCATTTTTTACTTATAAGACTTATTTTCAAATTAGCACATTTAGCAGTTAATGGAAATGAATTTTGATGGAATTTTAACAGTATGTAGTTTACCATTATAACTGTATACAAGTATCTGTTACAGTCATATGTTTTGTCTAAAAAGGACGACTCATCATTCTCGCTTGATTCAATAAGTTAAAAGGCCAAGATAGTTTATGAATTTGCACAGCAAAATTACACCAGAATGTTAGCTATATCTTGTTTTTATCAAGTAACAGAATATTCTACACCAAGTTATACAATGAATAATACATGTACCATGTATAAATGATATATTGAACAAAGTTTGATTCTCGAAATCATATAAAAAACATTTTAAGAAGTTCCCAATAAGAATTATTCAAACAACAGGGGAGGCTGAAATAATCATTCAAATTGTTTGCAGTAACACCTTGCACCAGCCAGCCTTGTTTTCATGATGGTAGATGTGTTATATCAGGAAACAGCTATAGCTGCAATTGTACAAAGGGTTTTTCGGGCAACTCATGTGAAGGTAAGTTTAACAAAATATATATGCTAATGAAAAGTCTTAATTGGAAACACGATTTCATTTTTGTCTTTGCCACAAACACGCTATAGACAAAGCATTTAAGCACAAATATATGACAAGAAGACAAAATATAACCATAGAACAATTACACAATGTATAAATACAAAGCCACGCCAAAAGGATCTAACCAAAAATGGACTAAACAGTTAAGGTAGCAAATATACAAATATAAATAAAAAGAACACTATAACACGTTATTGAGATGATAAACACCGTCAGTACCTAGAATCAATATTTCAAGACCATCATGTATTATTTATGAAGGTGATACTGAAAATCTATCAACAAGGTCTTGGTATCTTCCGATGAACTTTTTTAGTAAAAGAACGAGACGTTCTTTGACATAGCCCTGGTTTATCAACTTTCTGCTTAGACACTGGTGACATTCTATAAAGTCTGAGTAGCAGCTGCAAGCTCTTGAATGCCGATTAAGTTGGGTAAAGTCTATCCCATAGGCAGCTTAAGTTGGTATATTGCTGCTAAGTTTGGGGGAATTTATAATTTCAAAATAAAATTTGTCATAGATTCTAATACGTCAGATTTCTATTTAGCCTAATGAAAAAATATTGAACTTTGAGAATATAATTTTAAAATATCTAGTAATATTGTTTGTGCCGGTTTTGTTTAAGATATAAATACATTATCGATGGCATGACAATACATAATGAATGTTCACAAACTTTCCTATACAATTTACAAATCTTCACAATTCATGTTTCATTTACCAGATTCATTGATATGATAAATAAAGTAAATCTATATACAAATATGAAAATTACTACTTAAATAATTTATATAAATAACTTTTCAATTTATTTCAGTGACACCATGCAGCAGTAGTCCTTGTGTTCATTCTGGATCATGCTTAAATAATAATGGCAGCTATGTTTGTGTTTGTCCGATAGGATATTCTGGCAAAAGGTGTGAAGGTACAACTTACTGATCATTATTGTCACTTTATGTATTAGAAAATAATAATAATAGACAATATATATAAGGTTTTATTTGATATACATCATGTTGATGATACAGATATTTTAACATCGTAGCGATTTGTGTGTAAATAAAGTAATGGTCACTATCTTTGAAATACCACCGGAAGCATTGCATTTTTCCTTTATATCATTACGTATTGACGCGCCAGTCATATGTTACAAAAGAAGAGTCGAAAGATGCTAAACGGACATTTAAACCCATTAGTCTGAGACAAACTGACAACGCAATGACATAAAAAAAAAAACGAAAAAAAGACAAAACAGTATACAACGTACTAAATAGAAAATAAAGACTAAGCAAAACGAACTGGGGGTAATCTCAGGTGCTCCTGTAAAAATGAGCAGATTCTGATCCTAATGGGGCACCATTCGTGTTGCTCATGTTATTTCAAACCCGGTGATAATTCTAATTAGGTAGGTCACATTCGAAGAAAAGACGTCTCGTGATATCGTCCGGAAAAATTTCGATTTAATGTAAGGATTTATTTTATCGAGGATAATACATTGTTCATAAAATAAAAATTTAGTTAGTTTTGTACATACGACACACACGTTAAGTTCGATTTAAATGAGCTATACTCATATGATAGCAATACAATTGAAAATATGTCTTATGTGAAATATGATGGGGCTTTTTATAGCCGACTATACGGTATGGGTTTTTCTCATTGTTGAAGGCCGTACGGTTGCCTATATTTGCTTAAATCTACTTCATTTTAACTTTGCTAGATAGTTATCTCATTGGCAATCATACCTCATCTCCTTTTTTCATATTGACTCCTGGTCTACAAATCTTCGCTTTTATCTAATGAGTACAAAACACATCAGCATCAATGCACAATTTCGAAGTCTTTCGTAGTCCTGATCTTGGATTCAACCAACAAACTCATTCACTTTATGAAAAGACCCTATCAAAAAGCAACACAAACGGTACAAGGCTCTGTATATTTTGGTATGGAATCTTGTTTTTACGTTTTAGTAAAATTTTAATTACAAAAACATCACATGACGATGGTAATTTTATTCCTGATGATATTATGAAAACTTTAATATCCGAAATATTTCACAGTTGATCCGTGTGACGGTTTTCATTGTGAAAATGAAGGCACAAAAACAGTATTAGGATCAACCTGTCAGTGTATATGTAGAAGTGGCTTCTCTGGAGCATCATGTGAAGGTATCTCTTTCTTAAGTTTTTGTTTACCAGTTGATGAAAATGAAAAATCAGCACATTTTTACTTGACATAATCACTCAAACTGATAATTTGTACATTAGTAAGATAACCTTTAAACTCCGTTAATCAATGCAACCAATTCATACTAAGAGAAAATACATGTTTATGTAGACAACTATTTTTTTTATTTTAAAAAAGAGTGATATTATTCACACCAGAATGATTTCTTATGTATAAATCCAAAGAATGCTACATCAATTTATACGGGGTCATATAAACGGTATATAGAAAAAAAAATTTAACTTTTAGAATTTTAAAGAAATATATAAGCAAAAAAGGATGTAGAAATTTGATTTTGTTATGTTCCTTGCAGCAACGCCTTGCAGTAGCCTTCCTTGTTTTCATGAGGGTAAATGTTTGATATCAGGGAACAGCTTTAGTTGCAATTGTTCAAAGGGGTATTCTGGCAACTCATGTGAAGGTACGTTAAGCATAATATATTTGATAAAGAAAAGGCGTAATTGAAAACACGATCGTATCTATACCAATACTTTAGACTTAATTAAAAACAAACTGTTCAATAAACTGAACATGATTGTTTTTACTGTTCGTATATACAGTGAGAACAATACCTTAATAAATAATATCCAATCATCCATATAGACGCATTCTACTATATCCGATACTTGGATAAAATTTTTATCGCATTTCTACATATTCTTTTTAAAATAAATTTGAACATTACATTCCAAGGAAAGTAAAATATATTACTTGGCAGCTTATTTTCAATACGAACCTGTAGCAATATAAAGCAATGAATTATGATTCATTCTCTTACTACTTGCCAGTCTACAATGAAATAAATAGGATTAGTCCGTTAGAGTATTTTCCCTTGGTTTACACTTCGATATACCATAATGCCAAGATCGATTTTACTGTAATCTATTCTTTCGCGATACGATATACACATGGCATGGGATCTTTGGATTCCAAGAAAATCGAAATTGAAAAAAGGTACAGGATAGTTTTTTTTCCCAAACAAAAAGAAATAATGCGTTACAGCTAGAGAAAACATATTTAATTAAAATAGAATAAAATTTCACAGGGGGCATTAAGTGTTACCTTTGATCGTTCGTCTTTCCGTCCGTCCTTCCGTTGTCACATATTATAAGCAAGCTTGAGCAGGAGCATTCGTGTCCGCAGATACGTTTTTCTTTTATTTCAAGAAGTAATTGATATGTTAGCAGGGTCGCTGACTCAGAATATCCAGGTTGTGAGTTAATCCACCCGAGTATATTCATCAATAAAATGTAGAAAGAAATGTGTTTAATCCTATAATATCCCACTAATTTGCCAATATCTTATTTGGCTAAAAAGTAAAATAAATCTTAATCTAAAACTATGAAAACTACTGTAAAAACTACTATGCGTAACATTTGAATGGGATATTTTTCAATTTCGCTTCAGTGACGCCATGCAGCGGTAGACCGTGTTTAAATTCTGGATCATGTTTAAATATTAATGGCAGCTATTTGTGTGCTTGTCCAAAAGGATATTCCGGTAGATTATGTGGAGGTACAAATTAAAGATTATAGTGTTACTTAATTTACTTATTAAAGAGATCTTACAGATATCTATCCAAATTTAAACCTAAAAATCGTTTAAATATTTGACAGACACAACTGGATCGCTTTTTATTATACCATTTCTCGTAGAAACACATGTTTTGCCTTGAAATAATATTTGGTCCTTACCCTTTTAGTCGTTGATCTAATTCTATTGAGCTCAAAGCACATAACTAGAAATTTACAATTTCAAAGTCTTTCATTGGTTCGATCACAGTTTTAACATACTATTGCATCCACACAAAGACACAAAAATGACCGCAGCTATTATATTTTTGTGTATGTCTAAGGTTATTTAAATTTAAGTCAGTTTAATTGTAATTTCTTTCCATAATTAGAATAACGCTTCGATGGGAATAATATTTTACAGTAGGTTAGGGATCCTTTAAAATGTATATGTCGAACTTAATTTCACAGCTGATCCGTGTGACGGGTTTTCTTGTCAAAATGGAGGAACAAAAGCTGTATCAGGAACAACCTGTCTATGTACATGTAGAAGTGGCTTCTCTGGATCATTATGTGAAGGTATTGTTTATTTGTGTGGATGTTTTTTTTGCTACCATTTTATTTTCGTTTTATATGATTGGTAGATTAAATGCCTGCAATCACTATCACAGGTGATTACGGTATCAGTAGTTTACTAATATTAAAATCGATTAAGCAAAAACTGAATGAATCGTATGAGCTCCAAAAGGAGCGAGCCCGGGTGAAACGTTATTTATAACGATAAACGATAAATGCAGTATAGTTCAGAGTGTTTGACAATCCTCAAAAAGTTGTAAGACTTAGTTTGATGTTAGTTCATTCGCCAATTAATGAGTATTGAGCGAAAGATAACTGGACAAGTATTTACGGTAAAATATTCATCAAAAGCGTACATTTGTTAGTCAGATAACCATTTTATTCTGTATAGCAAGCCAACCCATTCATACAGAAATAAACTTTACTGTGGGCAAATAAACATACTGATACCGGGAATCTGCAAAGCGATTGATATGATTAACATCAGAGGGTTTATTATCATTTTTATACGCCCGTTTACGGGACGTATTATGGTATACCGTTGACCGTCTGTCCGTCTGTCCGTCCGTCTGTCCGTCCGTCCGTCCGTCTGTCCGTCCGTCCGTCCGTCGTCAACATGTCGGACATTAACTCAAAAATTCTTTAACAAATATGCATGAAACTTTGCTGGATTGTTTATATCTATCGACGTGAGCTCCCTTTAGTTTTTTTTATAAATTTTGGATTTACCGTTTCCGAGTTTTAGGGTTTTATTCATTAAAAAAGGGGGATTTTCCTGTTTTTGGACAATAACTGAAAAACAATTTCACTAATTTGCCAGAAACTTTGATGAATTGTTTATTTCTATCGACATGAGCTCCCTTTTGATTTTCATAAATTTTAGACCATAGTTTTCCGATTTATGGGGTTTTATTCATTACAAAAAGGGGGATTTTCCACTTTTCGGACAATAACTAAAAAACGCTTTGAACAGTCTTGAATTGTTTATATCTATTGACGTGACTTCCCTTTTGATTTTTTTAAATTTCAGTTTTAACGTTACCGTTTTATGGGGTTGCATTTATTAAATAAGGGGGAATTTCCCAGTTTTCTGTCAATAACTCAAAAATGATTTGAGCAGTAATTTTGGTTCATAAATTTCAGTTATGTGTGGAACTTTATGTTTTTTGTTTTCAGTCTGACAACAGATTTACTAAGTATTGCGCAACAGCAAGAAATTTTTAATTGAATATAAATTCAATTCATATAACCAATTTCAAGTTCTCAGACTACATTTTTTCAGAAACCTATAATATGTCAAATATTTAATTACAATCCAAATTCAGACCTGTATCAAGGTTGAATATTGTGTCCATTTTTGCCCCAACTGTTCAGGGTTTGACCTCTGCGGGTGTATCAGTTTATTTTAGGTATCAAACGAATGTATTATGTTTTTGTGTATCAAAAAAGGAACTATATTTCGGTACGTACCAAACAAAGGAAATATAAACCAGTTAATATGATGTAATATTAAGGATAAAAAACAAAGTAGGATTCAAGGAAACCTATTCACTTGACCTGGAAATTTTTTTACTTGAAAATATATTAAAACAAGATGTGAGGCTGCAATTTGATTTTAATGTTATTTGCAGTAACCCCTTGCAGTAACCAGCCTTGTTTTCATGACGGCAGTTGTTCTATATCAGGAAACAGCTTCAGTTGCAACTGTTCAAATGGATATTCGGGCAAATTATGTGAAGGTTAGTCAAACCAAAATGTATTGAAGCAGAAAAGGCACCATTTGAAAACACGTTTCATCTATATCAATGATTAAACAATTATACTACATCTTCCTATTTTTATATCTTACCTATTATAAGAGACGACTTAATTAACTGACTGTGATATTTTTATGCTACGTAATAGGCAAAATAATGACAAACAAATAATCAATGGTCTTTTAAACTCGAGGATTGTAAATAAAAAACACCTACTCGCTTGAAAAACCATCGATAATCTATAATAATTCCAAAAACAATTTTCAATTAAAGCATTGTGAATTTCGTTATTTTTGATAGATAAATTGTTATGATAAATAAAGTTGATTTATATCAAAATACGAAAATTATTACCTTTCATCTTACCCTTTAGTAGCACCTGAGATCACCCCTAGTTTTTGGTGGGGTTGGTGTTGTTTAGTCTTTAGTTTTTCGATGTTGTGTGTTGTGTACTATTGTTTGTCTGTTGGTGTTGTCAGTTTATTTTTGACTTATGAGTTTGAATGTCCAGTTGGTATCTTTCGCCTCTCTTTTACATTTGAATGATTTGTTTTTTTAAATTTTTATCTAGTGACACCATGCAGCAGTAGTCCGTGTGTGAATTCCGGATCATGTTTCAATTTTAATGGCAGCTATGGATGCTTCTGTCCGATAGGATACTCTGGTAGATATTGTGAAGGTACACACGTAATTTTAACATTATTTACGTACAAATTACAAAAACATATGTACAAGGTTAATGGGAGCTATGTATGCGTTTGTAAGTAAAGTAATAGTTTTCTCAATATACATGTATAGTTATCATTCATATGTAAATGCAGTGGAGGTCATCAAAACCTTAAAATATCTGAATCTACTAATTCAATATACAATTATCTCATAGTCAGAACGTTTGGTGTACACAAAGTGTACAATCTGTAAAGACACATATGGTTTGAAAACACATGATCTACATTAAACATTGTGCGTGTTCATTTGAAGGACAAAGATGAGCAAATTGTAATACAATTAAAATTGCGGCTAACTCACGGAAAGTTGACAGTTTTCTGTATAATCTCATAATATTTTCTGCAATTTCAATTTGTTTCTTCGGCTTGGTCCACTTTTTTATTCTCGACCGAATCTGATGACAGTTTTTCGGAAACAAAAGGAATGACTTGTAAATGAATGTTAGTCCTAAGCAGCCGTTTTGATCTTAACGTCGATTAAACTGTCGGAACGTAAATAATTAAAGTCTTGTTCAGGGTATACATGTAAGTTCTTTTTCAGATAATACAGTACTGTTTGGACGTTTTCATACAGTCAGTCAAGAGCTTTTCAGACATTTCAATACGTTGTAGTTTTGTACAGGCAAATAAAAACTAATGAACAGTCTGAGCATATAATGAACATATCTTAAGTGATTACAAAAAAAGTTTTTGAATAGTTATGAATTTAACGAGCCGGACGAATTTAAGAATTGAATAAGAGACTGAACATGGCTTAGTAATTTATTCTGCAGCCTAAAAACAGCTTTTTGAGGGGACCATTTGAGTCGAAAATTGATCATTAACAAAAAATTCTCTGAAACTGACATTATCAAGATGCTTGATTTCTTGATTGACAGTATATTTGTCACGTTTAAAGGACGTGTTTTTCAACAAACAATCGGCATTTTCATGGGAACCAACTGTGCTCCTATTCTTGCCGACTTGTTCCTTTATTCATATGAGGCTGACTTCATACAGGAACTTCTTAGAAAGAAAGAAAAAAAGTTAGCTGTATCCTTTAACCTAATTTTTCGCTATATAGATGATGTTTTCTCACTAATTAATTCAAAATTTAGTGACTATGTTGAACACATCTATCCCATCGAAATTAAAATAAAGGATACAACTGATACAGTTAAATTGGCCTCATATCTTGACTTACAACAAGAAGGTGACAATAATGTTCGGTTGAAAACAAAAGTTTACGACAAAAGAAATGATTTCAGCTTCCTTATTTTGAACTTCCCATTTCTATGTAGCAACATTCCAGCAGCACTTGCGTACGGAGTATATATCTCCCAGTTGATACGATATTCCCGGGCTTGTATTTCCAATCATGATAACCTTGATATAGGGTTACGCTCACAAGGAAGCTATTAAACCAAAAGGGGTGAAGTTGAAATCGTCCTTTCCTAAATTTTACTGACGCCATCACGTTAGGTGACTGTAATGGAATATCCGTTTTATAGATGTCAACGGATATGTTCCAATTGTCGTAGCTACAATCCCGTCCTCTTTTCCCCGAAAGTGATCTACCGAATTAGACTTATCACCGGATTCCTACTAACATGAGAACACAAAACCACTAACACGGCCTTATTTATTTTTTCCATGAATATCAGAACAATGTAACATTAAGAATATTAGTCCACATGATGTTGAACGCTTTTTATATATTACAGTTGATCCGTGTGACGGTTTTTCTTGTGAAAATGGGGGAACAAAAACTGTGTCAGCAACAACCTGTCAGTGTACATGTAGAAGTTGCTTTTCAGGATCATCATGTGAAGGTTTTTCTGTTTTACGTGTCCTTTTTCATGTTGACAAAAGTCGCGACTTATTTATCAACGTTAACTTAGGAGATAACTGTATTGTATTTAAAGCTTTGCCTTCGTAAAACGTAGATTAAAGTGTCCAAAATTAAGTGTACCAAGCGACACGTAGCAGAGCTAGGTAAACGGATATTTGCGATAGAAAAATCGAGTTTTACGAAGGGAAGCTTAAAATACAATACAGTTATGTCCATTATAATGTCACATATTAAAATAAATTCCATTTTAGTAAATATTTTGGCTAAGCAAAGCCATAAATGAAAAAAAGTCCGCAAAACTGTTACATCCTCTTTGGTTTCTAAACAATGTAACGTCATAGATTTACTCAATATGTCAAACATAAACACTAGATGTAATTATACTCTTTGTTCTCTTTTGAATGGTTTAAATATTGGCAAAATGAGACTTTTTTGGTTTTTTTTTGAGAAACTACATACCAAAAACAGTTTAAATTCAAAAATGGTGGCTTTCCTTAGTTATGGACTGGTAGAACTTAGAATCTAACACTTCAAAATATTCGTCAACGTCCAATGAAAATTGTCGTTCCAAAACAAATTGCATTAGAATATAGAATTATGTAAAAAAATCTTTTTCAAGTTACAACGAACTTGGAATTTAGGTTAATTTAATTTAAATATTCGAACCTGTTTTGCTGTAAATAAGTCGTATACCTTTGAACACCTGAGGGCATAACAGCATTTCTATTGCAAGGGAAGTTTTTTTGATGTTGGAAAATTTAAAATGCCAATGCTTCTATTGTTGTAGTGTTCTCGAGCAACGGTGACCTGTAATGGCTTTGACTATTTTTCAAAGGTTCCAGTTGGTTATATGAATCGTCAAGTACCTATACATTCTAAATCGATTTGGTTTTGAGCGTTTCTCTAAGAGGTTATTCTACAAAAAGAATTCGTACTACCCAAATGCATAAAGTGATTAAGTTCGTCAACAGGGGATAAACACACTCATTTGCACTTTTTTTTTATTTTTGTTTTCAGTGACTCCTTGTAGTAGTCGGCCTTGTTTGCATGAGGGTAGTTGTTCTTTTTCTGGAAACAGCTTCAATTGCAAATGTTCAAACGGATATTCTGGAAATGTATGCGAAGGTACGTTCAACGAATAAAAGTTTAAATGATAATAAAGATGAGAGGATATCATACTATTTTTATTATGTACTTTTGTGCATTTGTAATTCATTGGAAATTTTAACACTTAGTTAAGAACCAAATGAAATGTATATTTACAAGTCAGTCTTAATGTTTTATCTCAAAATAAAGTTAAGAGATATTTTGTCTTGAAATAATCATCAAGAATTCTCTAAATATACTGCCGAAATTTACCCAAAGGAACTTTCTTTAAATAAACCAAATATCAACAGCAATAACTGTCTTTTCCTAGATTTAGATATTTTGCGTTTTACACGAGAAACTCTTTACACAAATTTACGACAAAAGGGACGATTTTTTCCCAATTGTTAATTTTCCTTTTATGGACGGTTATGTTACTTTGACACCACCTTACGGTGTTTAAATATCCCAACCCTTTTGCTATGCCTCTGTCTTGTGTCAGGGATTTCGTTACCGCAAGAAATGCAATACCTTTTCTAAATTCATCCATAGATACAAAGATTTGGTTTGGAAGTTTGGCTGTACCTGAAGTAAACGATATAGCATATTTTAGTTTTTACTGTGATGTTTTAACCGAGTCCGGGCATTTAGATACGATCCGGGTAAACTTATCAATCCTTCAAATAAACTTATTTTAAAAGATTGTTACCAATTCAACACTGTAAATAGATCTTTGAATATAGTTCTCATTAGTATAAATATTGATTTTGTTATCGGTAAATTAAAACCATACTAAATATTATTGTTATACACATACTGCGGATTCGTTTATTTTTGTGGGTACCAATTTTCGTGGATTAAGGAAAACTCACATGTTCATGGATATTTATTTTCGTGGTTTTGCCGAAATCTGCATACAAGCCCTTAGAAAATTTGTCATTCGTTGAACATTTAATTTCGTGGTTCGAATAATAATGAATCCACAATATGCATATTCAAAGTCCTACAATATGTCGAGACCTATATTTTGGAATTGCACAAGGTCATGTTTTTTTCTGACTGTTAATGACATCTTTACACTAGATTCATTGGATGTTGGATGTGTACTGATTGATATGTTAGTCTTAGATACATGATTTTTTTGTGAGTTATTATTGCCTTTGAACTAGCTGTCGGAAACTGCTAGTACTCTTAGATCTGTACTTTGTGTCTTTATTGTTGTTAGGGATGTATAAATAACCTGCCACGTCCGGTTTATGTTTTTGTATCATGTCTTCCTGCTTTGTATCGATCTGATCAATGAAGCACTTTTCAACTGATTTTTATAGTTAGTTCTTATGTTGTACTACTACACCACTGAACCAGGTTAGGGGAGGTTTGGCGTCTTCAAACATGTTTAACCCCGCCACATTCTTTATATGCCTGTCCCAAGTCCAAAGCCTGTAGTTCAGAGGTTTTTGTTTGTTTATGTCGGTCATGCATAAATTGTTTTGTTATATTTTAGGCCATTAGTTTTCTCAATTGAATTATTTCATATCTTTCATTTTGGGGCTTTTTATAGCCGACTATACGGTATGGGTTTTTCTCATTGTTGAAGGCCGTATGGTTGTCTATATTTGCTTACATCCACTTCATTTGAGCTTTGGTGGATAGTTGTCTCATTAGCAATCATACCACATCTCCTTATTTTAATAACGATGTTTTTACAAACCACGAACATTCGTAAAGCATTCATGAACTGAAATATTTCGTGTTTATATACTTAAAAGTGCCTACTATGCATAAACATGAAAGAAATTGAATATTTAAAATGTTTGCTATACTGTATCCATTTTTATAAAAAAGAATCAATATCAAAGCAACATAGAACGGAAACATGGATGAATGGAATGTAGTTGCAAACATTACATGCATATTCAGAATGCTAGTATTTGAATTAAATTCAATTATACGCTGCTTTCTGCTACAAAAACAGATAGCAGTTGTGAATGTACTTCCTAAAAATTATCGTTACGAAGATACGTATCAAGACACATCGTACTTTAAGCCAATCCGTTTTCCTTCCTTATCCTAAATTCTGCGTGCAAGACAGAAACCTAGAAAATTCACGTTAAGGAGTCTTCGGTTAGATCTAGCTCGGGATCCATATACATATAATCCATGAACTCTTGCAATCAAGAAGGGCAAGTTCCCTCTATACCAACGTGGCAGTCTTCATAGAGTTTGAGCATTCACCATCAATTCACCATAACACGTATAAATAAAGGTTCAATCATTATGAATTATGTTTTAAATCCTTGATATAGTGATCGATATGATTTCTTATATCATAATAAATTCTAAGGGGGAAAACTGCATCCAAATAATTTGAAGTTTTATTTTCTTGATTTTGTTATAGTGACACCATGCAGCAGTAGCCCATGCGTAAATTCGGGATCATGTTTAAATGCTAATGGAAGCTATGTGTGTTTTTGTCCGAAAGGATATTCCGGCAAACGTTGTGAAGGTACATTTACAGAAAAATATTTTCTCATCATTTATCAAAATATATATAAGGTTAATGGTTTGTGTGTGTGTCACATTTAAATAGATTTAACAGTTTGTTAAAGAGAAGCAAAAGATACCAAAGGGACATTCAAACTCATCAGTCGAAAATAAACTGACAACGCCATGGCTAAAATAGAAAAGACCAGCAGACAAACAATAGTACACAAAATACAAATTTTTCAACTAATTGGTTTTTAGATCGGATATGACTGAGACTTTTGTTTTTGAATCCAAAATATTATGTCATACCAAGTCTTGACGAAAAGTTCGCACAACACTACATAGTAAACACTAAAGATTAAGCAACCCGAGTGACACCAAAAGACTAGGGGTGATCTCATGTGCTAAGGTTTGAAACCATCTCATTGACATTGACTCTGTTTCAACAGACGATAACTTGATGTCTTGCATAATCGAAAAAGACGGACATACATTTTTACTACTATCACAAGGTCGGGGTTGTTGTTGGTAAACTCTTCTATTTAAGTATATTTAAAGTGTTATTGGCTTTTCTCATTCATCAATCTTAATCTCAATGATGATATTCATCTTGATAAATCAGTAAAATCATTCATATTGGCCACTTGGTTATACGGATGGCAATGCCCAAAATGAAAATAAAATGTAGATTCACATTCAGAACTATAGCATATTAAAACCATAAGAATCTAGATTTTTTCTATCAGACAGAGATGCATAAAATGATTCTAAAGATAACAGTTCAAATTTAACAATTCTTAAGAAGTTCACAGTACTGTAACATAAACTTCAGATATACAATTTACTCTCTGAGACGACTGATATTTCGTCTTATTCTAATATGTGCGTAGCAACAAATATACTTTTTTTCTTTGATCTAGCTAGGAAATAAACGCACTTTGCACTCCACTCAATACGATCATATTTCCAGAATACAATCGACAGAATATTGACTACAATTGTGTGACAACAAGTAGCTTCACTAAAAATTTTGCAGCACCATTCATTTGAAATTTACTTTTTGCTGCATCAACATCATGAAAATATAAGATAATGCATAGCATCGACTGAGTTGAGTACTTATTTATTTATAAATTGATTTCACAGTTAATCCATGTGATGGTTTTACTTGTGATAATGGAGGAACCAAATCGGTATCAGGGAGAACCTGTCAGTGTGCATGTAGAAGTGGCTTCTCTGGATCATCATGTGAAGGTATTGCTTTCCTTGTGAATTTTCTTAATGTTCAACCTAGACATGACCATGTCCGTGATACATTACGTATGACAAATAAAGGCAACAGTAGTATACCGCTGTTCAAAAGTCTTAAATCGATTAAGAGAAAACAAATCCGGGATACAAACTAAAACCGAGTAAAACACATCAACTATAAGAGGGAAACAACGGAACAACAGAAACACAAAACTGCAACAAAAACAAACGCCAACATACATAGAAACGGACTATTTGATAACAACTGCCATATTCCTGACTTGGTACAGGACATTTTAAGACAAAATGGTGGATTAGACCTTGTTTAATGGCCAACCATACCTCCCGCGTATATGGCAATGTTAAAAAATATCGCTAAAATTACAACACTATGTGACAGGAATACAATACAAACAAACGCGAGAACACTCAGCACAGAGAAATGCATAAATAAATAATATAGTAGTACACTACAACATGTAAACCGCAGAATAACAATGCATCTTAACAATACAATGTTCAATGTTCATCTACAAAGTATGTGTTAAAATTCAGTGGGGGGTGGACGAAGACTATCAGTTTCAACATTTTAAGAACATTGTCCAAAAGCATGTTGTAGTTGAACACTAACCAGGTTTTAAGAACTATGAAACAGAGTGGATATGAATTCAACGTCAAATGTTGTGAATTGAGATTCTGATACCTTATATCTCATATAAAGCAACACAAACAATATTTATTGAGAAGAAGTAAGTAGTAGGAAAAAGAATACATCAGTTACTGTTTTCAGATGAAGTTATATCATTTGTATCAGGATATTCAAAACTTGCTCTTTATTATAAGATCAAGATCAAGAAAGTTTTAAGCATGGTAAAAATAAAATGATACAACGATAAATAAAGAACTATATTCCGTGAACAAGAACTATAAAACTGATATTATGTAAACATGATAGGCAAATTCCAATTAACCGTGTTATTTTAGCAAAAAGCGAATTTTGATTTGTGGTTTAATCATATTTCTTTCAAGAAACACCTTGCAGTAGTCAACCTTGTTTTCATGAAGGCAGTTGTTCTGTAACAGGAGACAGGTTTAGATGTAATTGTTCAGATGGATATTCTGGCACACTGTGTGAAGGTTAGTTAAAAGATATTGAAAAACAGAAAACACTCATAAGACATAGTTCAATCAATGTCTCAATTTCAAAGAGTAACATAGTAATGGTTTTAATGTACTGCAACAGAACACGAAAAAGACACGTAATTAACGAGTCTAATGCACCAGAATAACACACGACTGGAAATTGTTTTAATTTTCGTTTGGTCGTAAAAACATTCTATGGTCATATTTTTTGTATTTTAGTCTGTTAATGGGGTATTCTTCAATTTATGGTTTTGGGTAGTCACTTTAAAATATAAAAAAAAAACGAATGTTTTATTCAATTTTAGGCTCTGTTCGTAAATATTTTTGGTGCACAAATCATCAAGGGTCATCGGAATGATGAAGACATAAATAATAAACCATTCCCGAATAGAATTTTAAAACTTAAGGTTGGCAGGTTTTTAGCTGGAAATTTAACGCATTTTTCCTTGAAAACGAGAAAACATATAATTCAAAAACATTATTTCATATTTGAGTTGAAAGAATATATTATTGAGATACTGCATTCATATTTTGATGGACATGTAAATAGTTTTGTTAAAGATCAAGAAATAAAAACATCACTTATAGCTTTTCATATCCGTCATTCACATCTATTAATCATAGTAACATTTATCAAGTTCAATTATTAGCACGTTTTGTTCAACAATAAATTAAATAGTTTTAATGTGGTTGTGTACATAATATGTGAATTATTAGATATTTTTGAGTTTTGTAAGTGTGCTTTGATCACATTTTGTTGTTCTTTTTCTGTAAATAAGTTATATTCTTGTGCTTAAATTTTGACATTGTATAATAGTTAACCGAATCCTTTGGATAAGATTTTTTTCCGGATAATGGCTTGTTTTTGTAGTCCTGTAAAGTTTACTCCTATTATTCCAAAAAAGGAGACAGAATAAGGTTGAGTTGGAAAAATGCATTGTGTGTCAATATTCATCATATGAGCAATTAATATGCATGCGAGCAGTCGGGAAAATTATTATTGAAGCATGGATTCTGAGAGAGTTTAATGCAGAAATGAGATTAAAACTGAATTTACTGCTCCCGAAAAATCCTCTCATGGGGTACTAGACCAACTGTCTTACGACAAGATGCAGAGCATGTCAAACTTATTATAGACCATGCACACCAGCGACTGACAAATCCTTTTGATGTAAAATCTCATCTCAAGTCACTGATCAACATCTCAATTGGAATGCATGCGACTAAGGATATTGGACCAAAGCATTTGATGATGGTATTAGAATTGTCAAATCGTTTGTCAATGGTGCGTTGGAAGAAGGTGACTTCTATAGCACAATACCTAGGCCTAGATCAAAAATACAAACCTTCGAAGACAGAACGAAAAAGTCTAAATCAAGTGCAGGTCATGACCAGGAGAGACACTAAATGTACATATTATTCCAGACATTACAATAGAAAAGGTTATATCACTCTCAATTTGATCTATTCCCACTCTCTTTTCCACGAGGACGGCATCATGCTGAAACATGTAAGATCGATCTTTGTCATGAAATAGAAGCAGAAGCTGCATCTCATCATCAGTTGGCACCTCATGATTGATCCGCTATCGTACTTATAAGGATCGAAATGGCCTAAGTGCAACTGTTAAATGTTAAGACATTTAACACTTTCGGGGACTTGGCTCTATATTTCATTCAAATTCGGATATCATGCATTCCAATGCTGCTACAGTTGTTGATGTTTTTGATAGATTTGACATCAAACTTTCTATTAAATTGGTCAAAAGAGACCAACGAAGCAGTGTAAATTCTAGCCAAAATGTATTTCAGGTAATAGATGTTCGATCCTTACCAAACTGCAAAATTATGTTGAGCGTCATCATGCCCAGTCCCCTGGGTTGACTTCGCATGAGCATAAACTCTTTCTAGCGGGTAATTTTGTTGACTTGATTGTTGTGAAGAAGTTCTCTGCAGCATAGGTTACTGACTTTCAGGATTAAGTCAGGACACATTAAGAGGCAAATACCGAATGATCCTGCATGTCATGTTTGGTGACAGAGAGATCGAAAGGAAAAACAAGAAAGGTCGAGTAGGTAAAAAGTCTCCTGATACAGATGTTCCATTCTATGGATGTATTTCTTCGAAATCCTGTCTAATAAAAAAAACAACCAGAAACTGTGGTTTCATAGATTACCTTAGCTGTATTTGGGAAAACCTATAAGAATTTTTGTTTCTCAATGCCCTTTAACTTCGTTCCTAATTTTGGCTTGTTTAACCTTTTTTTATTCGAGCGTCACTGATTAGTCTTTTGTAAACAAAACGCGCGTCTGACTTACAAATAGACAAGATCCGGGTATTTATGATGAGTTTATTCAAACAGGGACACATACCAACAATAAATATGGTCGTAGATTTCTCCCTGTAATGTCTTTAGGTTACTTGCAAGATTTACTTTGAACCTGTAAATCATCCTTGCACCGAACGTTGTCCGTGTCAAGGTGGTTAAGCGTGTTGATACGCTTACCAGATTCGCAAACAATGAAGAGATTGACGTGTAGCTAATATTCTTGTATATAATTTCCCAGTGTGAAGCATTTTTAACTGTTTACCTTATTGATTAAGACCAGAGCTAATGTTTGTAGAA